TCTGAATTATTTGTTAAAATACAATCCATAGTGCATAATATGTATAAATTATTCTCATATTATATTTTATAATTTTTTGAAACTAGAGAATAATTATTTTGATAAATCGATTAATTAGTTGGGAAGATGTAGAAAGACTACATATCAGATTTTAAAATTGATCATATAATTTATGTTTTCTTTATTAATTGAATTTGCACATTCTGACGAAGAAAATTATATAAAAAAGATTTTGAATATCTATAATACTTGGTCGTCGAATAAACAACAGGTGAAAGTAAACAACATGTGAAAGTGATTTCTTTATAGTTAAACAAAATCCTATATGACCAGATAAAACCTACCATTTTACTTTGATGAATTTAGTAATTTATTTTTATCATTAATAATAATAGTTTTTTTTATATTGGTCTCTTACATCATTGATATTTTGAAATTAGATCTTCAAATCATTAAATTGTTCTTAAGTCATTAATATTTTAAGACTTTTTCCTGTGGAAGATAAAATGTTAAAACTAACAATATATTATACATGGAAATATCCAAAATTTTTTAATATTTTATGATAATCATAAACTTCTTTTTGCAAACATGTTATAGTAAATAAATAAATTTAAAATAAATAATTTAGATATTTGACCACGTGCAGTGCACGTGCATTTCACCTAGTATATATATAGTTGTTGGGATTTGTATAACAAAAATCTTTATATAACTAAACCTACCAATATAACAACTATTTAATCTCTTTTCATTTGGTCCCCACATGCAACCAAGTGTGCAATTTTAACTTTGTTGGCCAACTAAACATGGAAGCTCATTTAATTATTTGGACAAATTTTTAAAACCAACCTATTTCGAAACTTATTTATCAAAATCGACCTATTTGCAACTTATTTTTTAAAATCAACCCAGTTTCAGCCATCTGCCTGAGACTGGGTCGATTTTGACCAAAAAAAACTTATGGAACTTCACGAGACCGTGAAGTTCCATAAGTTTTTTTTTGGTAAAAATCGACCCAGTCTAAGCCAGATAGTTGAAACTGGGTCGATTTTGACAAATAAGTTGAAAAGATGTCGATTTTTGTAATTATTTTTGGTAAATGGGTTGCTTTTTAAAACTTGTCCTAATTATTTCACGTGGGCCCCATATGGAATCAAACTGAATTGACTTTTTCAGCAAAGAGAGTAGGGTTCCTTCTCCTCTTTGCTCGAGTCCATCGAAGGCCTCTTCGCTCGAGTCCTACGCTAATAGATTTTCCTCCATTTTCGCTAGGTTCAATGGAGGGAAAGATTCAACGCATTTTTCATCTTATTTTTCTTTTGGAATCTCTCATTTTCATTTTCATTTTGTTTTCCATCCTAACCAAATAGTAGACACTTATTTTTCTTTTACTTTCTTTTATTTTCCTCTAATTTCTTTCAAACCAAACATAACTTTTA